CAAGCCCTGAGTTCAAGCCCCAGGATCAGGACAAAAATAAAGAAAGAAAAGGAAGGAAGGAAGGAAGAAAACCTTTAAGGAACCAACTTTGAATTAGAAAAGTGGATGTTAATGACAAAGTGGTTATATTGGTTGGTTCAGAGCAGGTGGTACTTTTTGGAGGCAAATGGAATTGGATTTATTCCACTAGGTGTGTCAACACTTGTCTCAGCTGTCAAATGAGGTAATGAGAGCATACCTGTGATAGGATTGTGATGTGCAGTAAGGAGAAACATGCAGAATTCTTGCCATAATAAGTCTAAATATATCAATACTAGGTTGATACAAGTATTTCAGTGAGTCTGATATGATACTGTCACTGTTACTTTTCAGAAAACCAGTTCATTTAATTGGTAACGTTTGTACTTTTCTATTCTTCAGTGTGATAAAAACTCTCCTTTTTGTTATTCATGTCTAAATTTTACTTGATGCTACTCCTTAGCTTATGACTGTTAACTTCTCTTGAGGTGTGAGAACAGAACAACTTTATTAATTCTAAATTCTCAGACTCTTTCCATCAGCTTTTTTTTTTTTTAATCTTCATTATTGTTTTTTGGTGCTAGGAATCAAGCCCAGGGCCTCACATTCTGCATGTGTTCTCTTCAACTGATCTACATCCCCTAACCTGTTTTTTGTTTTTGTTTTTTTGTCAGTCCTGGGGCTCAGGGCTTGAACTCAGGGCTGGGCACTGTTCTTGAGCTTCTTTTGCTCAAGGCTAGTGCTCTACCATTTGAGCCATAGCACCTGTTCTGGCTTTTTCTGCTTATGTGGTACTGAGGAATCGAACCCATACATGCTAAGCAAGCCCTCTACCACTAAGCCACATTCCCAGCTCAACCTGTGTGTTTTTTAACACACATAATCTGTTAATTATGGTTCTTCCCCCAAATAGTAGACTTAGTGCTAACCAAATTAAGGGCAGTAACATATTTGTCAACAAGTGTATTGAGATCCACTTCCAGTTTCCTGGAGGTTAATTGGAGATAAGAATCTCATGGACTTTCCTGCCTGGGGCTGGCCTCAAACTGAGATTCTCAGATCTCAGCATCCTGAGTAGCTAGCATTACAGGCATGAGCCACCAGTGCCTGTCACCAAGTTAGTCTTTAATCTCATTGTTTATTGTCTGATGGGAGAGACAGAAGTATGATGTGATAGTTGATACCATGCTATCTGTCAGTGTATAAAATAAAACTCAGCTGGGTACTCAATTGCGCATGCCTGTAATCCTAGCTACTCAGGAAGCTGAGATCTGAGGATTTTAGTTTAAAGCCAGTGCAGCAGGAAAGTCCATGAGACTCTTCTCCAATGACCACTAAAAGCCAGAAGTGGAGCTGTGAATCCACTACAGTGTTATCCTGGAACACAAAACTTCAGGGACAGCGCCCAGACCTTGAGTTCAATCTCCAGGATGCGTATATACATGCACCCGCCTACACAGACACACACACACAGAGACACACACACACAGAGATACACACACACACATACACACAGGTCTTTTATAAATGTTTTTGAAGACATTTGGAACAGTTGGATGGTTATAGGAGTAAGGACCATCTGGCTCTCTGGCCATTTAAGACCCCCCCCCATCATTTTGTACATAATGGGCAGACACATAAGCTTCTTGTTGGCTGCCTTCATCTGTCTGCCTGAATTGATAGTTTTGTCTGGTCCATGAGTAATACTAAAATATCTAAATTGCCCTTGGCAGAAAAATGGTTCCCCACCCCTGGTAGAAGGTCAGTTCCTGTTTAGTAGATTGTTGAATATTACTTTGAAGTGTTAATTTTATTTTTTATTTTTGGCCATGCTGAGTTTGAACTCATGCTTGCCAGCAGTCATTTTACCACTTGAGCCACTCTGCCAGCCCCTTAAATGTAAGTGAAGTTTTATGTGAAGATTAAATTCCTAAATTATGTAAATGGTTAATATTTTTCTATATTATTGAAAACATGCTGTGCTCTCTGTCTTGAGTAGTATTGTGGTTGTAGTCAGATTATAGGCTTCTCAAGATTATTGGTAGGCTCCAGCAAAATTCAGTAATATAGTGAATAAAGGGTCTATAGAGCTTGTGTTTACCATATATGAAGCCCAGTCAGTATTCAGTCTTTAACACTGAAAAAGATATTGAAACACATTGAATTAAAGCAGCAAAAAGGGTTTAACTTGAAATTTTCTAAAAATTTTTTTTTTTTTTTTGGGTCCGGTCGTGGGGCCTGAACTCTGGGCCTGGGCGCTGTCCCTCAGCTCTTCAGCTCAAGGCTAGTGCTCTACCACTTGAGCCACAATGCCACTTCTGGCTTTTTTTTTTCCTGCTTATGTGGTGCTGAGGAATTGAACCCAGGGCCTCAGGCATGCAAGGCAAGTGCTCTACCACTGAGCCACCTTCCCAGCCCCTCTAAAATATTTTTGCTTGCTTTTTTATGAGAATTTTGTAATGTACAAGAACTTTTGAAGAGTAGTACAATGATTATATCTACTCTTTTCAATAGCAGTTTACATTTAGCTACTAGTTTAGGGATTTTTTTTTTTTTTTTGTCCGGTCGTGGGGCTTGAACTCTGGGCCTGGGCGCTGTCCCTCAGCTCTTCAGCGCAAGGCGAGCACTCTACCACTTGTGCTACAGCACCACTTCCGGTTTTCTGGTGGTTTATTGGAGATAGGAGTCTCACGGTCTCTCCTGCCCGGGCTGGCTTTGAACCGCAATCCTCAGATCTCAGCCTCCTGAGAAGCTAGGATTACAGGCGTGAGCCACCAGCACCTGGCTTGGGGATTTTATTATTATTAGGAAAAAATTTCCTAGCAGAGAAAACAGACAATATATAGTGATGAGTAAAGCCTAGTATGCTGGGTGAATACCAATTATGGTGAAGAAACTGGAGGTGGGAGATTTACAAGTAGGTGTGAAGCTAGCTTTAAAAAAAAATTATAGGGGCTGGGAAGGTGGCTCAGTGGTAGAGCACTTGCCTTCCATGCATGAGGCCCTAGGTTCGATTCCTTAGCACCACATAAGCAAAAAGAAAAAAAAAAGCCTGAAGTGGCACTGTGGCTCAAGTGGTAGAGCGTTAGCCTTGAGCTGAAGAGCTGAGGGACAGCGCCCAGGCCCAGAGTTCAGGCCCCACAACCGGACCACCTCCACCCCAAAATTATATATTGGGGCTGGGAAGGTGGTGCAGTGGTAGAGTGCTTGCTTTGTCTTTCATGCATGAGGCCTTGGGTTCGATTCCTCAGTACCACATAAGCAGAAAAAGGTAGAAGTGGCTCAAGTGGTAGAGCACTATCCTTGAGCTGAAGAGTTCAGGGACAGTGCCCAGGCCCACAGCTGACCAAAAAAAATTTTTTTTGTGTGTGTGTGTATTTCGTTGTTGGTGGTGGTGGTCATGGGGCTTGAACTCAGGGTCTGGGTGCTGTCCCCGAGCTTTTTCTGCTCAAGGTTAGCGCTCTACCACTCTAGAGTCACACACAGTACAGTACCACTTCCAATTTTCTGGTGGTTAGTTGCAGGTAAGAGTCCTGGCTTTGAACCACGATTCTCAGATTTCAGTCTCCGAGTAGGTAGGATTGAGGGTGAAAGCCATCATTGCCTGGCTTAAAATTATGTGTGTGTGTATGTGTATTCTTTTCTTTTTGTCGGTCGGTCATGGGATTTGAACTCTGGGCATGGGCTCTGTCCCTAAACTCTTCAGCTCAAGGCTAGTGCTCTGCTACTTGAGCCACAGTGCCACTTCTGGTTTTCTGGTGATTAACTGGAGATAAGGGTCTCATGGATGTTCCTGCTTGGGTTTGGCTTTGAACTGCAATCCTCAGATCTCAGCCTCCTAAGTAGTTATGATTACATACGTGAGCCACCAGTGCCCCGCATAAAAATTATATTTTTATTGAAGTAGTTATACAAAGAATTAGCATTCAGTGAATCAGTTTATAAGTACAATGTGTCTTGATTGATGTCACCCTTCTTATTATTCTCCCCCATTTCCTACCAGCCCCTCCCCTCTGTGTTCTACTAGGGTATATACTCTGAATTTTGTACTTGCCAGGCAAGTGTACTACTACTTGAGTCATAACATGAGCCTTTTTGCTTCTGTGGGTGGGTTTTTTTTTTAATGGTTTTGAATTCATGCCCAGGCAGCCTGTGTGCACCACAATTCTTCTATTAATGCTGCTTCCTATATAGCTAGGATGACAAGCATAACCACTAACCTATCTTTTCATTAGTTGAAATGAGATCTTGCAAACTTTTCTGCCTGAGCTGGCTTTGAACTTTGATTCTCCTGATCTCTGCCTGCCAAAGAGCTATATTACAAGTGTGAACCAATGTGCCTGGTACATTTTACTGTTTTTAGATTTGCTGTTGTTATTGTTTGCTAAATCATGTGAGTTGCAGGCATCCTAACACTTCATATCTAATTATTTAAGTGTCTCTCTCTTCCCCCTTCTTCCCCTCCTTTCTTTTCTTCCTTCTTCTTCCCTTCTCTTTCCTTTCCATTCTATTCCATTCCATTTGATAGGCTTATAGTCCAAGCTGGCCTTGAACTCATGATATTCTTGCTTCTATCTCCCAAGGTCTAGGATTACAGGCATGTTCCACCAAACGTTGAGTGTGGGCCCCCCCTTCTCTCCCTTTCTTCCTCTCTTCTTTTCCTCCCTCTCCCCTTCTCCATTTCCTTCTCTCTCTCCCTCTCTTCTCCTTTTCTCCTCTCCCCCACCCCACTCCCCAAGTACTGAGGTTTGAACATTGTACTTCATGCTTGTTTGGCCAACATTGTATTGCTTTCTGCCCTGTTGGGTTTTCTTTTTCCTCTTATTAAATGCTTTTATTACTAAGGAGTACATTTCTTTTGGGACAGTACCACTCCTTTCCTCATCTGTCTTCTATTTTCCCTCTCTCATCCTTGCCCTGATACCTTTTTTGATTTTTAAAAGAAGGTATGTGACATAAGCTTTTATATTTTCTCCTTCCAGTGATCTGCCTCTGCACTTTGAACACATTTGAAGATGGTGAAGTTAGATATCCATACTCTGGCCCATCACCTCAAACAGGAGCGATTGTATGTGAACTCTGAGAAACAGCTCATTCAGAGGCTGAATGCAGATGTACTTAAGACAGCTGAAAAGTTGTATCGTACAGCATGGATTGCAAAGCAACAGAGAATTAATTTGGATCGGCTTATTATAACCAGGTAAAGAAAAGATTTTTCAGATCAAAACTTTTGCAAATCACTTCTGTATTAATTGTTAACTGTAATGGAATGAATTTATTTCCAATAAAGTTCATGACTGAAGATAGTTTAGATCTGTTAATTATAGTGAGTCTTTGCTTAAAAAATATTTTGTATATTCATTAACTTAAGCGTTGCTATATAATTATAATTTTATTCCACACTAGTTTTTTGTCTTTATATGTATAACATAATTGTAGAGAATAAATTGTCTTGTGTTACTTTTATAGTACTATTTGTATACATTTTTGTTTTGTTTTGTTTTTTTTGGGTCCGGTCGTGAGGCCTGAACTCTGGGCTGGGCGCTGTCCCTCAGCCCTTCAGCTCAAGGCTAGTGCTCTACCACTTGAGCCACAGTGCCACTTCTGGCTTTTTTCTTTTGGCTTATGTGGTGCTGAGGAATCGAACCTAGGGCCTCAGGCATGCAAGGCAAGCACTCTACCACTGAGCCACCTTCCCAGCCCACTATTTGAATACATTTTTATATTTTGATATTATATATCTACTTTTAGAAACCACATATTTCATCAATCTATTATTTAATAACTGTAAAAATACTGGTACAGTGTTACGGAGTCGAACAGAAAGGAGTATATACTGTATGGTTCAATTTATATGAAATTCAGAAGAGGCAGAACTAATCTTTTGTGACAGAATAATGGATATTTGTTTGGTTTGCAAAGAGTAGTATTGACTGGGAAAGGGCATTGCAGAACATTCTAGGTTACTTAAAAATGTTTCTTTTTTTTCTTCTGGGAATTATGCCAGGTCCTAATATATGGTAGACAAGCCTTTCCCATTGAGCTACATCTACAGCTGCCCTACCCACCACCCCTTTTTTTAGATGAAGCTTTAAACCACTCTAAGGGGTTGTTTACATAGGCTAGCCTTAAATTCTTGGGTCAAGGAGCTTCAGGCAAATGCTAACACATATCTTATTCCAAAATGTGATTACCTTGGTGCATTGATACATAAAAAGTGAACAAGCTGGGTTGGGAAGGTGGCTCAGTGGTAGAGCGCTTGCCTTGCATGCATGAGGCCCTGGGTTCGATTCTTCAGCACCACATAAGCAAAAAAGAAAAATGCCGGAAGTGGCGCTGTGGCTCAAGTGGTAGAGCTCTAGCCTTGAGCTGAAGAGCTGAGGGACAGTGCCCAGGCCCAGAGTTCAGGCCCCATGACCGGACCCCCCCCCCAAAAAAAAAAAAAGTGCTTAAATTTTAAGTGTATAGCTTGTTCCACTTGAGCCACAGCACCACTTCCAGCTTTTTATTTTTTGCTTATGTGGTGCTGAAGAATCGAACCCAGGGCCTTGAGCATGCAAGGCAAGCGCTCTACCACTGAGCCACCTTCCCAGCCCCTAAGCACTTTCTTGTATTTTACCCTAACTACATTAAGAGAAAAATATCAATAGTGCTACTATGCATTTCCTGTAAACTCAGAAACAAAACAAAGTTGTCTGCTATCATCATTCTCATATGATCCTTGAGTTGTGTTTTTGTTCTTTTTTTTTTTTTTTTCTTTGTTGTTCTTTGTCAGTCCTGGGCTTGACCTCTGGGCCTGGGTACTGTCCCTGCACTCTTGAGCTCAAGGCGAGCGCTCTACAGCTTGAGCCACAGTGCCACTTGAGGTTTTCTGGTGTTTAATTGGAGATAAGAATCTCACAGTCTTTCCTGCCTGGGCTGGCTTTGAACTATGATCCTCAAATCTCAGCCTCCTGAGTAGCTAGGATTACAGATCTCAGCCTCCTGAGTAACTAGGATTACAGGCTTGACCCACCCGTCACCCAGCTGAGTTTTTTTTTTTAACTTTTTTTTTCGGTCCAATATGAGTCTTGAACTCAGGGCCTGGGCACTTCAGGTCAAGGCTAGCACTCTAGCACTTGAGTCACAGTGCCACTTCCAGTTTTCTGGTTAATTGGAAATAAGAATCTCATGGACTGTTCCTGCCCAGGCTGGCTTTGAACTGCTATCCTCAGATCTCAGCTTCCTGACTAGGATTACAGGCATGAGCCACTGGTACCTGGCCTAAAAACAATTTTTGTTGTTGTTGGTCATGGGGCTTGAACTCTGGGCCTGGGCATTGTCCCTCAGCTCTTCAGCTCAAAGTGAGTGCTCTACCACTTGAGCCACAGTGCCACTTCTGGTTTTCTGAGTGGTTTATTGGAGATAAGAGTCTCTTGGAGCCAGCACCTGTGGCTTATGCCTGTAATCCTAGCTGCTTAGGAGGCTGAGATCTGAGGACCTCGGTTCAAAGCCAGCCCAGGCAGGAAAGTCCGTGAGACTCTTATCTCCAATAAACCACTAGGAAACTGGAAGTGGCGCTGTGGCTCATGCGGTGGAACGCTAGCCTTAAGGTGGAACGCTCGCCTTAAGCCGAAGAGCGCAGGGACAGCGCCCAAGCCCAGAGTTCAAGCCCCACAACTGACCAAAAAAAAAAAAATCTCTTGGACTTTCCTGCCTGGGCTGGCTTTGAACCATGATCCTCAGATCTCAGCCTCCTGATAGCTAGGATTAATGGCTATTTTTCCTTTTAGTAATCTTATGTGGTACCAAGGAATTGAACCTAGGGCTTCATGCATGCTAGGCAAACACTTTACCACTAAACCACATTCCCTGCCCGATCCTTGAGTTTTTTTTTTTTTTGGGTCCGGTCATGGGGCCTGAACTCTGGGCCTAGGCACTGTTCCTCAGCTCTTCAGCTCAAGGCTAGCGTTCTACCACTTGAGCCACAGCACCACTTCTGGATTTTTTTCTTTTTGCTTATGTGGTACTGAGGAATTGAACCCAGGGCCTCATGCATGCAAGGCAAGCACTCTACCACTGAGCCACCTTCCCAGCCCCCAATCCTTGAGTTTTTAATTAAAGATGTTAAAGACCTGTGAGACATTGTGGAAGATTCTAGAAGAAGGAAACACCTCCCACATGCATCAGTTGATAGAATAAATATTGCTTAAATGACTGTATTACCTAAAGTGATATATAAATTGAATGTAATCCCCATCAAAATTCCAGTGATGTTCTTCATGGAAGTAGAAAAAAACAGTCCTAAAATACAAAAGACCACAAACAGCCAAAACAATGAGCTGGCGGGATACAGTTCATCACTTCAAGCTACCTTTCACAGTCATGACAACGAAAACAACATGGCACTGCACAAAAACAGACACATAGGCCAATGAAATAGAAGTGCTGATTCTTTTTTGATGGTACTGAGTTTTGAGTTTAGATAGATATCATGCTTGCTAGGGAGGTTTTCTATTATTTCAGCTCCATCTGGCCTTTTTTGATTTAATTATTTTGTGAAGAAGGTCTTATGTTTATGCCTGGGCTGAACTGGACCATGATAATGTGGTGGCACCCCCGTCATCTAAGCTTCCATTATAACTTGTTTGACTGCTATGTACCACCACACCACACTTGAAATGGGGGTTTAACAAACTTTTTGCTTAGACTGGCCTTAAATTGTCATCTTCCTACTCTCTGCCTTCCTAATGGTTAGGTTTACAGGTGTGAGCCAGGGGATTGCATGGTACGCATATGTGTGTGTGTGTGTGTGTATAGTATATCTATCTATCTATCTATCTATCTATCTATATACAGAACTCCAAAAAATTAAAGATCAGTAATCTAGGAAGTAAGTAGACCAATTAACTGAGGAGACAGTTTTTAAATGAAGAAGTACAAATGGTCAGTACATATGTAAAAAAAAATAGTTCATCTTTAGCCATCAGAGAAATAGATCAGAACTACATTGAGGGCTGGGAATGTGGCTTAGTGGTAGAGTGCTTGCCTAGCATGCATGAAGCCCTCCCTAGGTTTGATTCCTCCATAGCACATAAAAAAAAAAAGCTGGAATGGCACTATGGCTCAAGCGGTAGAGTGCTAGCCTTGAGCAAAAGAAGCTCAGGGATAGTACCCAGGCCCTAAGTTCACGCCCCAGGACTGGCAAAAAGAAAAGAAAAACCAAAAACTACATTGAGCTTTTACTCTACTTTAGTCAGAATGACTACCATTAAGAAAACAACAACAAATTCTGGCTAGGATATGGGAGAACTCTTATTGCTTGCTGGAATTACATTAATTCAGCCATAATGGAAATCAGTATGGATATTTCTCAAAAAGTTGAAAATTGAAGGCTGGGAATGTGGCTTAGTGGTCAGGTGCTTGCTTTGCACGCATGAAAGTCTGAGTTCAATTCCTTAGTACTACATAAATAGAAAAATTCAGAAGTGGTTCTGTGGCTCAAGTGGTAGAATGTTGTTATCCTTGAGCAAAAGAAGCTCAGGGATAGTGCCCAGATCCTGAGTTCAGTCCCCAGATTAAAAAAAAAAAAAGTTGAAAATTGAACTCCACTTCCTGGTATACCCAAAAGAGTAATTCAGCTTATTTTAGAGATACCTGTGTACCCATGTTTTTCATGGCATCATTTACAGTAGCCATATGATAGAATCAGCCTAAGTGCACACTAGCTTAATTGGATGAATGGATATAGATTATGTGGTGTGTGTATTTATATAAAATTGAGTTTTATTCAACCACGAAAACTGAAATAATGTCATTTGCTGGAAAATGGATAGTACTGGAAATCATTATGCCAAGTAGATTAAGCCAGTCCCACAAATATAAGTGTTGTATATTTTCTCTTGTTTATGGAAGCTAGAGGAAATCCAAACATACAGAAGAATAGTGCTGCAAATATGCTTTTGGATGTTTAGCCCTCTTATGGGCTTAATTTCAAAGGGCTTATTACAGAAGTAACAAGCCGGGTTGAAGGATATGAGTCTACAGTTCATTACATACTGGGACATTGCTGTTAAAAAAATTGAATAATATACCTGACATAAACCTTGTGTTGATTGTTTTTGGTTCTTAAATATTTGTAAAATTTCTTGTGTTCATAAATAGTTTTTAAACTAGCAGTTTAAAAAAAATTAAAGTAGTTGTACAATAGTGTAACAAATTTTTTATCTGTACAGTTCTAGGCAACAGCTATTATATAATAGCCTACAATTTTTTGTTTGTTGCCAGTCCTGGAGCTTGAACTTAGGGTATGGGAACTGTCCCTGAGCTTCTTTTGAGCCACAGTGCTATTTCCAGCTTTTTCAGTTTATGTGGTACTGAGGAATTGAACCCAGAGCTTCGTGCATCCAAGGCAAGCACTCTACCACTATGCCACATTCCCAGCCCTAAACTACAATTTTTTTTTTTTTTGTCAGTCGTGGGGCTTGAACTCTGGGCCTGGGCGCTGTCCCTCAGCTCTTCAGCTCAAGGCAAGCGCTCTACCACTTGAGCTACAGCGCCACTTCTGGTTTTCTGGTGGTTTGTTGGAGATAGGAGTCTCACGGTCTTTCCTGCCCGGGCTGACTTTGAACCGCGATCCTCAGATCTCAGCCTCCTGAGTAGCTAGGATTACAGGCGTGAGCCACCAGCGCCCCGCTTAAACTACAATTTTTTTTACAATCTTTTTTTCTTTATTGAGATTACAAAAATTTCACAAATTTCACTGTATTGTGGGATAGTGGTACTTAAAGTCACAAACACATTTAACAATTTTTATTTAACTAATTTTAATTGGCTTCCTTTATATCTATATTTATTTTTAAATTTTATTGGTGTTAAGGTTAGAACTCAGGATATCATGCTTGCTTGACTTGTTTGGTTGGTCAACCACTTGAGCCATGCTCCCAGCCCAGCTTTTTGCTGGTTATTTTGGAGATGGAATCTCTCATACTTTTGTACCTAAGTTGGCTTCAAACTCTTAGTTTTCTGGATCTTTGCCTCCTGAGTAGTTAGGATTATAGGCATAAGCCTCTGGTTCCTGGCTAAATATGCAACTTTGTTGTTGTTATTTTTTTTTTCAGTACTGGGGATGCAAACTCACAACGTCATGTTTCTCATGCTTGCTATACCACTTGAGCCTTACCTTCAAACCTTTGTACTTTTTTTTTTTTTTGTCAGTTGTGGAGCTTGAACTTTGGTCCTGGGCACTGTCCATGAGCTCTTCAGCTCAAGAGTAGTGTTCTATCACTTTGAGCCACAGTGCCACTTCCAGATTCTGGTGGTTTATTTGAGATAAGAGTCTCATAGACTTTGCTGCCAGGGATGACTTTGAACTGTGATCCTCAGATCTCAGCCTCCTGAGTAACTAGGATTACAGGTGTGGGCTACCAGCACCCGCCTCCCTTTGTACTTTTTAGTTTAACACCCCTCTGCCCCCCAGTTTTGAGGCTTGAACTCAATATCTTTTACTCTTGCTCAGCTTGGTTGCTCATGGCTGGTGCTCTACTATACCTCCAGCCCAAATTTTCATCATACTATTTTTAATTGTATGATGGATAGTACTGAGGCTTGAACTCCACCTTGCACTTGCTTAGCTTGCATGCTCAAAGCTGGTGCTCTATTACTTGAGCCATGCCTCCAGTGTTGGTTTTTTCTTATTTGCAAAGTATGAGTCTAAAATATCTATTCACAATAATCTCATTGTTGGGAATATAATCAGTTTATATTTTCTTTTTTTTTTTTGTCGGTCATGGGGCTTGAACTCTGGGCCTGGGCGCTGTCCCTCAGCTCTTCAGCTCAAGGCGAGCGCTCTACCACTTGAGCTACAGCGCCACTTCCGGTTTTCTAGTGGTTTATTGGAGATAGGAGTCTCACGGTCTCTCTTGCCTGGGCTGGCTTTGAACCACGATCCTCAGATCTCAGCCTCCTGAGTAGCTAGGATTACAGGCGTGAGCCACCAGTGCCCGGCTATCAGTTTATATTTTCATGCCCAAGTGTAGTACTTGTGTTGTCTGTTATTATTGTTTTTTGTTTTTTTGTGTCCGGTCGTGGGGCCTGAACTTTGGGCTTGGGTGCTGTCCCTCAGCTCTTCAGCTCAAGGCTAGCGCTCTACCACTTGAACCACAGTGCCACTTGCGGCTTTTTTTCTTTTTGCTTATGTGGTGCTGAGGAATCGAACCCAGGGCCTTGAACATGCAAGGCAAGCGCTCTACCTCTGAGCCACTTTCCCAGCCCTGTTATTATTGTTAATATGCTATTTGTTTTCTAATTTTTTAGTGCGGAAGCTTCCCCAGCTGAATGTTGCCAACATGCCAAGATTTTGGAAGATACACAGTTTGTTGATGGATATAAGCAATTGGGATTTCAGGAGACAGCTTATGGAGAATTCTTAAGTCGATTAAGGGAAAATCCTCGTCTTATTGCATCCTCCTTGGTTGCTGGAGAGAAGCTTAATCAGGAGAACACACAAAGTGTTATTTACACAGTTTTTACCTCCCTATATGGCAACTGCATAATGCAAGAAGATGAAAGCTACCTCCTTCAGGTTCTGCGATACTTGATTGAGTTTGAACTTAAAGAAAGTGACAACCCCAGGCGACTTTTGAGGAGAGGAACTTGTGCCTTCAGCATCTTATTTAAACTGTTTTCTGAAGGACTCTTTTCTGCGAAACTTTTCCTCACAGCTACTTTACATGAGCCAATCATGCAGCTGCTTGTTGAAGATGAGGATCACCTAGAAACAGATCCAAACAAGCTAATTGAGAGATTCTCCCCTGCACAACAGGAAAAACTCTTTGGAGAGAAAGGCTCAGATAGATTCAGGCAAAAGGTTCAAGAGATGGTGGATTCCAATGAAGCCAAACTAGTGACTTTGGTGAACAAATTTATTGGTTATCTCAAACAGAACACATACTGCTTTCCACATAGTCTGAGGTGGATTGTGTCTCAGATGTACAAGACACTCTCCTGTGTAGATAGACTAGAAGTTGGAGAGGTCAGAGCAATGTGTACTGATCTCCTGTTGGCTTGCTTCATTTGTCCTGCAGTTGTCAACCCAGAGCAGTATGGGATAATTTCTGATGCTCCTATTAATGAAGTGGCACGATTTAACCTGATGCAGGTTTGCTTTTGTTGTTACTATTGATGTATTTAGTTTAAGTCAGTTGATTTGGGGCCGTGGTTGTGGGAACAGAAAATAGCATGACAGTGTTTATATGTTCTTAAGAAAATGATACTATAATGGTGTTAGTTTTCTATATGGAGCCCTTACAGAGAATAGATTAACAGTTCCTTCTTGGCAGTAAGGAACTTGCTATGTGAATTAGCATCTATGTTGCTGAGCATCTTATGATCTATATGAATTGTTTGCTTTTAAGTTTAGAAAAGGACTATTGTGTTTCCTCTTGTAAAATAGTAAAAGTTGGCATAGACAGGGCATACGTAGACATGGTATGCCTGGTGAGGTTGGTATGAATATTGTGAAATCAGATTTTTTTTTTTTGTCCGTCATGGGGCTTAAACTCTGGGCCTGGGTGCTGTCCCTCAGCTCTTCAGCTCAAGGCGAGCGCTCTACCACTTGAGCTACAGCGCCACTTCCGGTTTTCTGGTGGTTTATTGGAGATAGGAGTCTCAAGGTCTCTCCTGCCCGGGCTGGCTTTGAACCGCAATCCTCAGATCTCAGCCTCCTGAGTAGCTAGGATTACAGGCGTGAGCCACCAGCGCCCGGTGGTATGTATATATTATTAAAACAAAAAGTTTAAACCTAATTCTGCTATAAGTAAGCTACATTAACTACTTTTTTTTTTTTTTGGGTCTGGTCGTGGGGCCTGAACTCTGGGCCTGGGCACTCTCCCTCAGCTCTTCAGCTCAAGGCTAGCACTCTACCACTTGAGCCACAGCGCCACTTCTGGCTTTTTACGCAGTGCTGAGGAATCGAACCCAGGGCCTCAGGCATGCAAGGCAAGCGCTCAACCACTGAGCCACCTTCCCAGCCCAGAATATTGGTTTTCTGAAGGGAGATTTTCTGTGTGTGTGTGTGTGTGTCTGTGTGTCTGTGTGTCTGTGTCTGTGTGTGTTTGCCTGCACGCACTACTAATGGCATTTGAACTCAAAGCCTGCGTGGATGCAGTTCCTTAGCTTTTTCTCTTAAGGTTGGTACTCTACTGTCATAGCTTCACTTTCAGCTTTTTGATGGTAAATTTTCTGCTTTGTCTTGCTTTGAACTCTGATCCTCTGAATTTCAGCCTCCTGAACTGAGGGCTTTGTACTTGCTAGGCAAGTACTCTATCGCTGCCTGGCAGGGATTACAGGCATGAGATCATCAGATGTGGCCTGAAGTGTCTGTCTGTCTGTCTGTGTATCTGAATTTTATATATATATATTTTTTTTCTTTTTAGTAGTACTGGGGATTGAAGACAGGGCCTATGCTTGCTAGGCAGGTATTGAACCACTCTGTGTGTGTGTGTGTGTGTGTGTGTGAGTGTGTGTGTGTGCACGCACGTGTGTGTGTGTGCATGCATGCACACACACTGTTTGTGGAACTTGAACTTTGTGTGGATGCTGTCCTTGATATGTGTTGCTCAAGGTTAACTCTCTATCACCTGTGCCAGAGCTCTACTTCTAGCTTTTTTGGTGGTTAATTGGTGATCAGAGTCTCACAGACTTTCCTGCCCAGACTGGCTTTACACCATGATCTCAGCCCTTTGAGTAGCTAGGGTTATAGGTATGAGCCATTGGCACCTGTCTTAGTTATTATTATTATTGTTGTTGTTATTATTATTATTTGTTGTTGGTGGTGGTGGTCATGGGGCTTGAACTCTGGGCCTGGGCCCTGTCCCTGAGCTCTTCAGCTCCAGGTGAGTACTCTACCACTTGAGCCACAGCGCCACTTCCGATTTTCTGATGGTTAGTTGGAGATAAAAGTCTCACATACTTTCCTGCCTGGGCTGGCTTTGAACCATGATCCTAAGAAGTCAGCCTCCTGAGTAGCTAGGATTACAGGCGTGAGCCACCAGTGCTCGGCTTTGGTTATTATTTTTGAGGTAGGGTCTTGCTTTATGCCTGTGCTAGCCTGGGCTGCAATCCTACTTGTACTTCTCCAAATTTTGGGGCTGACAGGTGTGTGATACTAGGCTCAGATCATGTGCTTCCTCCATAGCTGGGTGGCACATATCACCATATATAGCTACTAGTTGAGATAGAGGTTCACATACCCAGGGTTGACCTCAAAGTATAATATCCTGATTTCTACCTCCCAAGTAGCTAGTATTAAATACTTGAACTACTGTGTCCAGCTAGCCTATTTATTATAAAATAAAACAGAATGTTCATTTTATTTTATCATTTTTACAAGAATCTAATCTGGGTGCATTAGCTCACATTTCTAATTTTAGCTACACAGGAAACAGATCAAGAGGATCACAGTATGAGGCCAACTTGGGCAAAAAGTTTGAAAGACCTCTATCTCAATCAATAAATATCTGGACATAGTGTTGTGTGTCTGTTATCCTAAGTTGTGCAGGAAGTATAAATAAGATAGCCATTCAAGTCATTTCAGACAAAATCACAAGACCATGTTTGAAAAAAAAAAAAAAAAAGCAAAATGGCCTGGGAGGCAGGTTGAAGTGGTAGAGTTTCTGACTATCAAGCACAAGGCCCTGAATTTAATCTCCTGTACTGCTAAAAACAAAACAAAACAAAAAAAACTTTAAAAAAACAATTATATGTGCTTAATCTTTATTTACTTAGTATTTGTTATCTATCTGTCTACACATACAATGGAAAAATTAAGCATGTAGCATGTGCCAGGCACTGGGTAAACCTCTTCTAAATGTTATTTAATCCACAGAGACATCCTGTCTTTCATTTGAGGCACAATTAGATCTATTTCTTTCTTCTCTCTTCTCATTGGGGTTTGATCTCATGGCGTTATGCTTGCCAGACAGGCTTTCTACTGCTGAGATGTACCTCCAGCCCAGAGCCTGTACTCTATGAAGGCTGACTTGTAGTTACCATTAGCAAGCATGGAAAAAGTGTTTAGACCAGAAAGACAGGAGTATTTTAGTAACATAATAATGAGTTACTTGCTATACTTAGTGAACATCATTACATTTTCTTTATCTTGAGGAATGGAATTATTTCATCTTGAAACTTCCATGAGCTGATTTGTTAAGAATACAAATTTGTAAAATTAATCTGCTGTACATTTAGTATAATATAGAATTATATTATTAGTAGGAATGTGGCAAAATATTCAACAAATCTCACTTTTTCACTATCCCAAAAGCCAAATTCATAACTAAAAATAGTAAAAAAAAAAAGTGATCTTTTACATGTGGTACTTCTTAATATTAGGCGCAGTTTGTAATGTTTACCCTAAGGATAATGAGATTTTCCCATTGTTTACAATTGCTTCCCAAAGTGGCATTAGGTATGGATCCTTGTGGACGGTAAATCTCAAAAATATTTTCTCACTGTAATTTTGTATTTTATATTTATTTAAAATTGTATCCACTGTTCAAAGGGTTGATTTTCTTTCTGTTTACTGCTTTCACAACCCAGGACAACAGTTAGCAGCCATCACTGCCTGGGATTCCTCAGCTACCAACCTTACTTCGCACATTACATTAGTCACCCCATTTGGTGGGTAACAGGCTGTTTTTCTTTTCTTACATAGCTTTAAGAAATGCTTTATATAGCTGTATTCCATGTGAATGTTGCTTTTTGCTTTATGTAAATTGCTATATGAAGTTCAGTTATTTGCATTTTTATATATTATAGTTTGCTTAAATCATAGACCTGCTCATCAAGTTGAACTTAAGTTCATAGTTCAGTAGAAGATAGTGAGGGATAGAAAAATAAAAGTGTGTATGAATCTGTTTAAACTTCGGAAGCTGGTGTGTGTGCTGAATGCTTGGACTGAAAATGATTAATGAACACATCTACAGCATTGTACAGTGAAGGTAACTGTATTTTCATCTCTTTCTGTCTTCAAGGAAGTCAGCTTTCACCCATAGCAAAGTGTTTATGCTTTATGTCTATACTTTTTGGAAAGAGGATTTCTATTTACTTTTTTATTGTATTGAATTTTCTAGCTGTTATATTGAAACTGTCACAGAAGATCAAAATTCTTAGAAAAATTATCATAAGCAACTGAAATCTTTCAGTGTTTAAAAGTTCTTAAAAGATACACAGGACAAGTTATTTTAGAAAAAATTACTTTTAGGTAGAGAAAGAACAACAAAAAATAGTTGACTCCTTTATTAATTTTAGATGTTTCCATAAAACTGAAAGGACTTCATATTCAAACATAGGGAAAACACTCCTTCATTTCTAGAGTGAGGTTAATATATATCAGGCATGGCTCAGTGGTAGAATTGCCTCCCTAACAAAAATTGATCTTAGCTTTGTCAACAGTGTCTAAGTAAAAAGTATTACTATATACTTTTCATGTCAGTTACTTCCCATGAGCTGGTCCTGGGAAGCAACTTGGTGCTCCAAGCTTCTAAACATCTGTAGAAGTATGGTCCAGGGTAGGTAGCAGTGATTGTCATCCGTGACTTTTCTGGAACAACCCACTTTCACCTCTGAAAGTGTCTTCCTATTCTAATAAGTTTTACTATTCTCAGTAAATCATACTTTTTACTATTTTGAAACAAAAATAAAATGGCTTGATGTGGTGCATACCTATAATCTCAACATTTGGAAGGCTGAGGCAGAAGAATCTCGAACTTGAGGCTAATCCAACACATAGACCCTCTCTCAAAATATAACAGAAAGGAAAGCTAAAACAAACAGACAATATAATTTTATATGGTTATCAGATTTCCTCATGGTCGTTTCTAACACAAGTTCAGTTATTAGTATAGAAGATCTGCGACAAGTAACTGATTTTATAGGAAATACAAAGTATCTTAAAAAGACTAGCTGCCAGGTAATGCTTTTCTTGTTACCTCAAAGTCTCCATTGATAGGGATGATTTGGCCATACTGCATATGTTATCATGTGTAGTATGTACTCCCTGTCTAGTGGATGTGGGTCATGGTTTCTCATTACTGTTTGTGTAGTAACTGGGAGGATCTGTTTTTTATTTGTTTTGATTTCTATTACTCATATTTTCATAACTTTTTGTGCCTGTGCAAACATTCAACACTAAAGGGAAATATTTTTTAAAATTCAGTGTGCCATTTTCTTCATTTTGATTTTTTTATTTGTCTAAATTCTTTGATTTCTTTCTTAATTTGTTAGCAACTCGGAGCAGAAGTCGCAGTAATATGCTAGTGGATCTACATATGGACCATGAAGGATCATCTCAAGAAACTATCCAGGAAGTACAACCAGAAGAGGTGTTGGTCATTTCCTTAGGGACAGGTCCCCAGCTTACTCCAGGGATGATGTCAGAAAATGAGGTAGGAATATATTACTACATTTAACTTACAACTCTGTGTTAAGAAGTTTAAACCAGATGAGGTAGCACATGCCTATAATCTTGGAACTTGAGAGGCTAAGACAGGAAAGTAAGGCAAAATTTTCTTCTTTTTGTTGATGCCAATACTGGAGCTTGAACTCCAGATCTTATAATCTCACTCACGTTTTTTACAACCAATTACTTGAGCCACATTCCTATTTCTAGCTTTTTTTAATTTATTTTTTCTTTTGGTCAGCCATGGGGCTTGAACTCAGGGCCTGAGTACTGTCCTGAGCTTTTCTGTTCAAGGATAGTGCTCTACCAGTTTGAGCCACAGTTCCACTTCTGGTTTTCTGGTGGTTAATTGGAAATAAGAGTCTCATAGACTTTCCTGCTGGAGCTGGTTTTGAACCACAATGGAAGTGGTCCTGTGGCTCAAGTGGTAGAGCGGTAGCACAGAGAGGTTCAAGGACAGAGCCCAGGCCCTGAGTTCAAGCCCCAGGACCACCCCGCCACCCCCCGACTCAAAAAAAAAAAAAGACATCCTGTATTCAGAAAAACCTTAAGCCTACAAAGTCAGCTGCCCATGGCTTATACTTGTAATACAAGCTTTACAAGAGGCTAAGACCTGGGGCTGGGAAAGTGGCTCAGTGGTAGAGCACTTGCCTTGCATGCATGAGGCCCTGGGTTCGATTCCTCAGCACCACATAAGCAAAAAGAAAAAAACTGGAAGTTGTGCTGTGGCTCAAGTGGCAGAGTGCTAGCCTTGAGCTGAAGAGCTGAGGGACAGGGCCCAGGCCCAGAGTTCAGGTCCCACGACTGGACCCCCCCTCAAAAAAAAAGAGGCTAAGACCTGAAAGATTATGGTTTAGATTGCATCTCAACCAGCAAAAGGCTAGGCTGGAGGCATGGCTCAAGTGATAGAGCAATTGCCATGAGCAAGTTGAGTGAAACTTCAAGCAAGACCCTGAGTGCAACCTCTGGTACTAGCACTAAAAAATTTAAAAGTTTACAGCTGGGCATCAGTGGCTCACATCTGTAATCCTAGCTACTCAGGAGGCTGAATCTGAGGATCTCGGTTCAAAGCCAGCCCAGGCAGGAAAGTCCGTGAGACTCTTATCTCCAATAAACCACCCAAAAAACAGAAGTGACACTGTGGATCAAGTGGTAGAGTGCTAGCCTTGAGCCGAAGAGGTAAGGGACAGTTCTCTTTTTTTTTTTTCTTTCTTTCTTTTTTTTTTTTTTTTTTTGGTCGGCCATGGGGCTTGAACTCTGGGCCTGGGTGCTGTCCCTCAGCTCTTCAGCTCAAGGTGAGCGCTCTACCACTTGAGCCACAGCGCTACTTCCGGTTTTTCTGGTGGTTATTGGAGATAGGAGTCTCACGGTCTCTCCTGCCCGGGCTGGCTTTGAAAGGCGATCCTCAGATCTCAGCCTCCTGAGTAGTTAGGATTATAGGCGTGAGCCACCAGCACCCGACTAAGGGACAGTTCTCAAGCCCAGAGTTCAAGCCCATGACTAAAAAAGAAAAAAAAAAATTAAAAGTCTACAAACATCAGCAAGTGAAGACTGAAGTTGCAGACTGCTTGGCTAAGTGTTGAAGAAGTACCCTAACACGGAGCTACTCTGTAGCAACTTGCAAGGTTTAAGGATGCTTTGTTTTCTAGCTAAATCTGCCAATCAAGGGCCAGTTATGGAAGGACATGTTTGTAATCCCAATACTAAGGTAGAAGAATTGCAGGTTTACAGCCAGCGTAGGCTACATAGCAAGATTGTCTCCACAAAAATAAATCTGCCAGATCATTTGCTGACCACAAAGCTAATAGAACAGGGTCTTCAGGGGTCACATATGACATGACAGAGACAAACAAAAACACCAATTCCTATAATCCTATGTCTGCCTGTTGTCTTTTTTTTTTTTTTTTTTGCTTATGTGGTGCTGAGGAATCAAACCCAGGGCCTCATGCATGCAAGGCAAGCGCTCTACCACTGAGCCACCTTCCCAGCCCTGCCTGTTGTCTTTAACACTGTAGATAACAGAAAGGCAACATAGCTTCATTTGGCTCAGCTGATCCATTTGTGTCCCATGAATTCTGTTTAATGCTTCAAAGATCTCATGAATGGAGTTGTTGTTTAAGAGTGATCTAAAAGAAGTTGTGCGCATTTGCTGTGGGTTTTCTTTTTTTAGACTTTACTCTTTCATTTGTAATAAACCAAAATTGACATTTTATTTCTTAGGTCCTAAATATGCAGCTTTCGGATGGAGGGCAAGGAGATGTCCCTGTTGATGAAAACAAACTCCACGGTAAACCTGATAAAACGTTGCGCTTTTCCCTCTGCAGTGATAATCTGGAAGGCATATCTGAAGGTGAAGGGTTATGTGATTCAAGTAATATTTTGTTTTGTGTTCTTTAAAGGAGCCTTATAAATTATAATTAAGCCATCTGTGCCTCTCACTGAGCAGAATAATGAAAGTTCCCTGTAATGAGTTTGAACAGTTGGCTGTAAAGATTGTTTCCTGAATAGAATTAAGATTACAATAAGCTGTTGGTCATATAAAATGAAGATGTAAGTCTTCATTCAGACTTAAATAGAATACCAGCATTCTGTTTATAGCAGCATTGTTTCTCAGTATTGATATATACCAAAGCTTATAGAGCTCCTTTAGAAGGATGTAATGCATGTACAAATGGAAAAAATGGACTTACTAGTATATTAGAATATTGTGTATACCTTGAATATTCTGTATTCCTTTATTCATATACTCAAACACACCATCATGAAGCACTGTACAATGGAAATAAGAATTAACAAGAAAATTTTAAGCCAAGATTGCAAAGTGAAAATGTATTATTCCACATTTTGAGATAATTTTTTTCAATGAAAATAAAGTTCAAGTTTGATGACATTTAAAAGTAAATATAGGGCTGGGAAGGTGGCTCAGTGGTAGAGTGCTTGCCTTGCATGCATGAGGCCCTGGGTTTGATTCCTCAGCACTGCGTAAAAAGCCAGAAGTGGCGCTGTGGCTCAAGTGGTAGAGTGCTAGCCTTGAGCTGAAGAGCTGAGGGAGAGTGCCCAGGCCCAGAGTTCAGGCCCCACGACCAGACCCAAAAAAAAAAAAAAGTAGTTAATGTAGCTTACTTATAGCAGAATTAGGTTTAAACTTTTTGTTTTAATAATATATACA